TGAGTTAGCCATATTTATTTAAATATTCACAGTTTTCCTCAAACACAAAAAGAATTATAAGCTTTGAGAAATTAAAACTGTACAAATATTTATATCCCACGGCTGCAAGGATAAATTACTCTTGAGATTTTCAACATGTGAATCTGAACAGCTGAACTTTCTGTGCACACGACCGAGTGTAGTAGAGTTATTTTACGGCGTTCCTGCGGATAATGCCCGCAAGATGACACTGATCACATCAGCATTTGTTACTAGGTCATTAAATGCATAACAGCATCACAGCTGGTAACATTACTGTTCTTCAAAAAGAATACACAGTACTAAGGCCCAGTCAGTAAGATAAAATAGTCCTACGTTCCAAATCTCTCTTTTAAATATGAATGTAGGAGTAAAACTAAGGAACAAGATGTACTCAAATTTTTTCAAAAACCCACCACGGAGGCAGCCGAAGGCCTGTGCTCCGGGAGCAGAACTGGGGGTCACAGCCTCAGCAGCAGGGAGTTGCTTTGGGGTGCAGCTGGCACGTGTCATCTTTGTCACTTGGTGTGTGGCGGGAACACGGATACAAAGGATTTCCTGAGTCGGGTGAACAAGCATCCAGCTCGTTTCCAGAGCTTCCTTAACCATGTGACTGCTTAGTACTGAAGCCGAGAAGCCACTGGTTTGACAGTCCCCGTGCAGTCACAGCTGCGGTAAAATCCGGTGGCCTCATTTTGTTCTTGTCTACGTTACAGATAAATGCATTTCTAAGAAAGGTGAGTCTGCTCAAGGCCAGGGTTGCCACTGATCTCACAGTTTTTGAGTAGAAAAACGAATGCCAGTGAGAGCCTCTCTGGCATCACCACAGTGGTGGAGCAGGGCCTGGGCTCAGGAGGCCCCGAGCCTGCAGCCCACAGGAGACAGGAGAGGGGACAGGCGACAGGCGTCCCCGCCATCACTGCTCCGCGAGGAAACATTCAACAGTTTGGGCCAGGATGCAACAGATGAAAACAGTCTCAACACTTACTTTCTGGAGGCTTTTTAAATAAAGCTGCTTACTGTACTTACTACCTATGAAGTGGGCGATCAAATACTTGATACTTTGGCAAATAGTTTATTCAATACTTTGTAAAGTCCTACCCGTATCTCAGCACTGCGGGCCACGATGCTGGGAAAATGCGTTTCATTTCTAGGGAAGAAAGAAAATAGGAGGTGATCTGTGCTCTTTGAGGTGATCGGTGCTGCGTATTTCCCCTGGCGCTCGGTGGACGTGGACAAGCGTGGACGCCGCCCGGGGCCAGGGGCCGAGCTCACTCTCCACAGAGGCCACGGTCCTCCTGGCAAGGTGCTGGCCTAGCGGTGGCCTCCATACTTAGCCACCCAGTCCGTCCTCCCGGGCACTGAGGGCACCGGCTGGGCGCCTGTCACGACGGGAAGGGTTTTGGTGCTGGGGCTGTATGTGGCTCCTGAAAACGGCCCCTGACCGGCTTTGGTGCTCCAGGTGAATTCTGAAAGAAGTCAGAATCAGAATTAGAATCGTACTTATCTGGTGATCAGAAATAAACTAATTCATCCTCTTATTTCATGGAGGGAATTTGAATTTATCTGTAGAAGATTTAATTCAGTGGCCTTTGAAGTTTGTTTCAAAAATTTCTTAATGTTTTTGTTTTTGCAGTACTGGGATTGAACCAGGGTCTTTACACTGAGCTACCTCCCCAGCTCTTTTTAAATAATTTTTTGTATTGAGACAGGGTCTCCATAAGTAACTACTTTGCCTAGGCTAGGTTCAAATTTACCATCCTGCCTCAGCCTCCCAGAGTGCTGGGATTATAGGTGTGCACCACTATGCCTATTTTTGTTTTTTTGAGACAGGATCTCTCTCTGTAGTTCAGGCTGGCCTTGACCTCACTACGTAGCTGCCTAGGCTGACCTTGAACTCAAAGTGATCCCCCTGCCTCAGCCTCCTGAGTGCTGAGGTTACAGGTATATATCACTCTGACTGGCTTTTCTTTTTTTAAGCAAAAATTCTAGGGTAGTATTATGTTGACACAAACTAGAATTATCAGCAGCTTATGAGCCCATATTTCGTTTTTATTTTATGAAAATGTAAAACAAAATTTCACTGTAAAATAAGAGAATAACAATAGTTAATATACTATCATTTTCAAAGTAGTTTCTTAGAGTGCAAGATATAAATCAAGAAGATTCTTACAAAAGGCAGACATCATAACACAGAACTTCCTCTTAAAACAATCTAAGATAAACTAGCAGTGTGAATAAAACAAACTAGCATCTAAAAGTATTTTTGAAACAACAAAATATGTATTTTTGGGAAGTATTTGAATCTCTCTACTTTGTATTTATCTCTCCTAGTTTGTTCTTTGTGTGTGTGTGTGTGTGTGTGTGTGTGTGTGTGTGTGTGTATCCCGTACCGGGAACCTTGCGCTTGCCAGGCAGGCGCTGTGCTGCTGAGCTAAATCCCCAGCCCCTGTATGTTTACATTTTGTTTTTCATACAAGATGTATCTCTATGTGATATTTAAGCCTGTGTGTCTGATTTATTTCACTTAGTATTATGTTCTCAAGGTGCATCCTTTTACCTAGAAAGGCCCCAAGTTTATCTGTCTTTATGGCAGTGTGGTACTCCGTGTGTAAGTACAACATTTTCCTTATCCGTTCACCTGTTGATGGACATGTACTCTGTTTCCAAGATCTAGCTATGATAAACTGTGCTTCTGTAAACGTGGGTGTGCCTTGTATCCCTGTAATATGATTTTAACTCCTTGGGAAGATACCTAGAAAAGGAATAAAAGGGTCGGATAGAATTTTTGTTTTTAGTTTTTTGAGCAATCTCCACACTGATTTCCACAGTGGCTGTACTGGTTTACATTCCCACCAACAATGTAGAAGGGTTCCTTTTCCCCTTACCTTGCCAGCATTTGTTATTTTTAGATGTTCTGATGACAGCCTTTCTTTCTGGCATAAAATGGTATCTCAGTGTAGTTTTAATTTTGCATTTCTCTAGAGACCAGTGATGACAAGCATTTTTTTTTTTCATTTATTTGTTGGCCATCTGTATTTTTTCTGAGAAATGTCTGCTCATTTCCATTGCCCACGCTTTCATTGGGTCTTTTATTTTGGGAGTTTCTAATTTTTTCACTTCTTTATATATTCTTGATGTTAGTCCTCTGTCCATGGAAGAGCTGGCAACACTTTCTCTCCCATTCTGCAGATTGTCTCTTTTCTCTGTTGGCTGTTTCCTTTGCTGTGCAGAAGCTTTTCAATTTAACATTAATCCCGTTTGTTGATTCTCGGTGTTATTTCTCATGCTATTGGGGTTTTGTTCAGAAAGTCCTTGCCTATATCTATGTCCTCAAGAGCTGTACCCGTTTTATCTTCCAGCAGATTAAGTGCTTCTGTTTAAAATTTAGATCTTTTGTCTATTTTGATTTTAGCACATGCTGAGGGATATGCATCTAAATTGAATCTTCTGCATGTGGATATCCACATGTCGTGATAGCGGACATCCTTTCTTCTTCCTCATTTTGGAGGGCTTTAAGTTCTTCCCCATTTAATATGATGTTAGCTGTAGGTTGGTCATAAATGGCTTTTATCGTGTTGAGATAAAGACTTTCTATACTTATTCATGTTTTTTTAACATCATAAATGGGTGTTGGATTTTGTCAAAGGCTTTTCCTGCAGCTATTGAGATGATCGTGTGATTTTTGTTCTTGCTTCTGTTTATGTAAGTTACATTTATTATTTGTACGTGTTGAACCATCCTTGCATTCCCAGGATGAAGTCTACTTGGTCATGGTATATGATCTTTTTGGTGATTTGTTGCATTGTTTGCCAGTATCTTATTGAGGATTTTGCATCTATGTTCATTAGAGAAATTGGCCAATAGTTCTCTGTTTTGGTTGGATCCTCGTCTGGTTTTGGGAATCAGGATGACATTAGCTTTCAAGAATGATTTTGGAAATCCTCCTTTGCTCTCGATTTCATTAGAAAGTTTGAGGAGTATTGGTATTAGATCTTCCCTGAAGTTCCTGTAGAACTTGGCTGTGAATCCATCAGATCCTGGGCTTTTCTTAGTTGGTAGTTTTTTACATTCCTGCTTCAATTTCATTGCATGTTACTGGATTGTTCAGGATTTGTAAGTCTTTTTGATTTAGCTTTGGCAGTTCACTTGTATCTAGGCATCTCTCCATTTCTTCTGAGTTCTCCAACTGTTTAGCAGATATGTTTGTGAAGTACAGTGGCACCATGATTCAAAACTTAATTTGGTCTATGATTTGGGAAAGACAATCATGTCTGTCTGTGGGGGAAAGATGGCTCTGGTTCTGTTTGTCACCTGATATAAGTTTGCAAACAAAAACAAAATTTTGGCCAACTCTGAGGTCCCACTGTGGTGGGTAATAATTTTCTGGATTTTGGGAGTGTCTGTTGTGATTTCACCTTTTTCATCTCTAAGTGTATTAATTTGTATCTTTGTTTTGATAAGACTAGCTAAAGGTTTGTTTTGTTTATTCTGTTAAAGAACCAGCTCTTTTGTCATTCTTTTTGTAGTCTCCATTTCACTTACGTTTGCTCTGATCTTTATAATTTCCTTCCTTGTTCAAGCTCTTTGGACTGTTCTTGTTTTTCTAAGACCTTGATATGTATCATTAGGTTATTTCTGTTCATTCTATTTTTCTGAAGTGGACTTTTATAGCTATAAACTTCCTTCGTGGGACTGCTTTCATTGTGTCCCACAGGTTCTTGTATGTGGTAGTGGCATTATCATTTAATTCTAGGAACTATCTTATTTCTTCCTGAATTTTCTCTGTGACCCATTGATTATTCAAGAGTCTATGTAACTTCCATGCTTTTGTAGTTTTGTAGTTTCTTTTGGTATTGATTTCTAGTTTCACTGCTCTGTGATCTAATAATATGCACGGTAAAATTCTGATTCACTGCATTCACTTAGACATGCTTTATTAGCTAGTACGTGGTCTGTTTTGGAGAAAGTACCATGTGTGGCCAAAAAGAAAGTGTATTTTGTAGGATGTTGGAACACTGTGTCTATATCTATTAAGTTCATTTGTTCAAAGGTTTGTTTCAAGTCTGATGTTTCTTTGTTGATTTTTTTTGTTTAGTTGTTTTGTCTGTCTGTGATGATGGGGTGTTGTGATCCCTCAGTATAATGATATTGATGTTTATTTGATCCTTTTATGTCCATATGAGTTTGTTTTATGAAGGTGGGTGCACCATAGTTTGGGCATGCATGCTTGTAATTGTTATCTATTCCTGTCGAACAGTTCTGTTAACCAATATGTGATATCCTTCTTTGACTCTTTTGATCAGCTTTGGCTTAAAATTTGCTTTGAGGATAGGATAGCTACTCTTGCTTGTTTTGGGGTTCTTTTTTTTTTTTCCGGTACTGGGAATCAAACTCACGACCTCGCGCTTGCCAGGCAGGCGCTGTGCCACTGAGCTAAATCCCCAGCCCTGTTTTGGGGTTCTTGTTGCATGGAATATTGCTTTCCGCCTTTGATTTTTAAGCTATGAATTTCTTTTCATGTTAAACTGTTTCTTGTATATAGCATATGTTAGATGAGCCATTATTTCAAATTTTTATTCTGATGCTGTTGATATTTCCAATACTTCACATTAAGACGGGCAACATTTTGTAAAATGACCACGACAGATTCTTGGTTCAAAGTCAGTGAGCACCCACAGGGTCAGACTCTCATACCATATGGAACACCTCCAAGGTATACGTTCCTGAGAAACGAAGCCTCAGTCTTTCTCTGACCTCTCCGTCAACCCTATTCACTGAGATACGCAGGGCTGGCTATATTGAAACACATGTTCCCTTAATTGGCCAAAAGAATGTGACGGAGTCTGGCTGAGACATGTCATTGCAAATTCGGGTGAGAACTGCCCACCCTGCGGATGGCTGGAATGGGGAAGCAAGAGCCTGTAAGATTCTAGGGCTAAAGCATGAGGTAACATCTCAGGTGAGGCCATGGCACTCAGACAGAATTATAGCTTCCTGGCAGTAAAGGTGCCAGCCTTGCATGCACCAAGCTGTCTGTTGCATTGCTAACTGGAGGCCTCTGCCTGGTACAAAGTTGCTGTTTCTCCTCACAGCCATTCCTGCAAAGTTTCTCTTCCCTAGCACTCTGCTGTGACCCTCACCCACCTCTCTGACTGAAACCAATAAAAGCCATGAGCTTTTGGACGCCCAGCCCTTTGTTCCACAGAGAACACTGGTCATCCCAGAGCTCCTCAACTGCAGAACTTTCTCTCTGTGTTTATTTTGCAACTGTGTTCCATATAGCTGGGTGGAGGAGGTTAGACTGACACCCTCTGGGGGGATTTTGGTAATACCACACTGCACTTGTATGCTGGAGAGCAGGGTGCCACCTAGAGAAGTTCTTTGTCTCAACCCCCGGGGCATCTTGAATTCCATTAGAGGGTTTTGATCCTCCTGGAGCCCTAAAATCATACCACTTATCTCTTTTATTTAAGCCATTTGCCATCCACTCGTTTCAAAAACTGGGACTAGGCCAAGACTCTGACAGTTACAGCAAAGCAATATTTAAGCACAGTATCGCTGTGGAAAATATATTGAGAATTATGAATCCTATAAAACTGTAGCTTCATGGAACAACACATATAGAGATCTAATTTCCTTTTGAAAATCAAAGTGTAGTTTCTAGAATTAAGAATTTCTTTTGAGTCAGTGTCTAGCCATGTTGCCCAGGCTAGCCTAGGACTTGTGATCTTCCTGCCTCGGCCTTCTCAGCAGCTGGGATTACAGGTGTGTGGCATTGTGTTTGGCAAGAAACTTCGCTTTATAGTAGGATAATTATGGGTGATAAAACAGCACCCTTAAACGCTAACCTTTCCTGGATCCCAAACTTCTAATCAGAAGGCTTATTTTATTCATATATTTTACTGCTAAATTTTTATAAAAACTTTAAAATTACTGGAACATTGTTACGTGAATAACTGATAAGCTAAAACTACTTATACATCACCAGTGACAAAGAACTAAATCATTGTTCAGAGGGCTTTAATGTCTTCCGTCCCGCCTCACCCTCCCTCCCTTCAGAGTAGAAGCTGGCTCTCCCTGGCTTTCTACCCAAGGAAGGCGCCTTCTGGCCACTTGGGACTTAAACATCTTTCACGTTGAGTAGTGGCTGACATTTCTGGAGCAGACTCTGTGTCACAGACTTCATTAAAGACAGCTCCTCTCTTAATTATTACTTGCAAGCAGTATTTTTGGAATAAAAAAAGGACATTTTGACAAAAACCATTAGAACTGTGTTAACAAAGTGAGACTAATTTGAAAGTCTTTACTCAGCAAAAGCGACCATCTAAATTTAAGAGGAAAAAAAACACCACCTCTCAGTTCAGAAATCTTTAAAGCCGTATCTGAAGCGGTTCTTACCTGGAGCCGCTGCCCCAAGAGGCGCTAAGTGGATCCTCTGGCCGGCTGACCCCACTTCTTTTTTGAGAAAGGAAGGGACATATCCTGACTGACTGTAAGTAGTGTAACTTCCGAGATTTCCTAGTGATGTATCATAAAGTTTCAGAGTCAGAAGGTGAATATTTGTAAGTGCCACAGAATAACTCTGAGTACTAATTTTATTCTAAGTACTATTTTTTGAGCATCTATTATGTTCTAGGCTATGCTGTGCTTGTCCAGATGCCCCAACCGGTCCCTAGAACAACCCTCTCAAGTGCCGATTATTATTACACACTGCGGGCCTTCGAGGCTGAGTGGTCTGCCTGTTGCCCCGATTACCAAGGACTGAACTCAAGGCAGGGTTTGTGTGGTGCAGGCCTTTAATTATGCCAGTTCTTCACACTAGGGTGTTTCCTGCCAGGAACCCCTGATCCTTCCAGCATTCTATGAGTCTGTTCATTCTCTAAACCTGTTACAAGTGGGCTTCCTCTCCCAGGGTTGTTGTAGGGACCCAGCGCCAAGCAAGCAAAGCCACGGGCATGCAACTGTGTCAGCGCTCAGCACCATCACCACCACCACTGGCGAGCGGCTGCCTGGCGGCCAGAAGGGGAAAGCCTAAGGCCGCGGCAGGAGCCCTCTGCTGCTCTGAGACGACAGAAGACGGGGCTCAGGCCTGCGGCAGTCACAGAGAGATGGAGAGCAGCGGACCGGCTGGGGTGCTGCACAAGGCAGGGCGTGTGAAGCCCCCGCTTTGCAGCGTAGGTGAGAAGAACAGAGGAGGCGAGGTAGGATTTAGAGCAAGACAGGGAAGATGAGGAGGCTGGTTCGGAGATGTCAGTTTCCAAGGTCAGGGGCCCGAGGTCTGGGCCTAGGGGACTGCACACGTGGGGGATCTGGAAAAGACCTCCAAGGAACATCCACACGGAGGGCAGGGACAGGAGGGGAGCGATGGAGAGACGTGGGTGGAGGCCCAGCAGCCTGGCAGGACGGAGCTTCAAGGCTTACGGCATGAGAAAAGAAGGCCCGGCAAAGGCGCAGAGAAAAAGCCAAGAGCCTGGTGCTGCCCAGGTTGCAGGCCGCCGGGAGCAATGCCGTGTGTGAGGCCAGCCGAGGCCAAAAGACAGGGCGCTGAGGGACAAAGCCAGCGCGGCGCGGCTGTGTAGGTAAAGACAGATGGCTACACGGGGTGGCGGGGCTCTGGTGGCCCGAAGAACTGGCCCCCAGGCAGCTACAGCTGAGGTGTCCTCTGTCCACATGTCTGGAGACTGAGCTCTGCGGTCACACAGCAGGCTCTGAACACGTGTTTGCTTGTGAAGCAACAAACACCGGAGAGCAGCGTTAAGAACTTACCAGGCGCCAAAGGGTCTTGCCCTGAGGTTCTTAACCTGCTGAACCCTATACAAGTAGCTAATGAACCTTTTTTTTTATAGCTAAGGTTCAACTGCTAAATGAACCTTTTTTTTTATAGCTCATGCTCGTCCAGAATCAGCAACCTATCTCTTATTTCAAAAAGACTTTTGAGAAGGAAGCTCAAAGCCATGACTGTATCTCACAGCAGTGACAAAAATCCTGGGAGGAACTGTCTGATAATATCTAGGTAAATATTATTTTGTCCATTTTATAGATGGGGAAACTGGTAAATGACTTGTTCCAAATCCCAAAGCAGGGACGTGCCCAACACTACAAGCCATGCAGGGGCTGGGGATTTAGCTCAGCGGCAAAAGCAACTGCCTGGCAAGCACAAGGTCGTGAGTTCGGTTCCTGGTACCAGAGGAAAAAAACAAAAAACAAAAAACAAACCATGTGCTGAGCGGGTGTGAGACCTACTGCTGTCAGAGGAGTGGTGGGAAAAAGAACAACAGCGAATCAAGTCTTCTTAAACCATCTTGGCGTACTTGTTTTGTTTTTGGCTTTTTGAGACAGGACCTCGCTCTGCAGTTCAAGCTGGCCTTGAGCTCACTTTGTAGCCCAGGCTAGTCTCAAACTCACAACGATCCTCCTGCCTCAGCCTCCCAAGTGCTGGAATTACAGGTGTGAGCCACCACGCCCGGCCTATCTTGGCGTATTAGCCCAAGTACCCATGAGCTTTAGATTTCTGGGCCGGAGCTAGCGGCCGGTGTTGTGGAAAAACCAGGAATATTAGTCCCCTAGGAAACCAACTAGCTCCATGAACCTGGCAGACACTGTCTTTTAAATGAGTGTTGTTGCTTAAGAAATGAGTTTCAGAATTTAAACAACATATATATCCCAGGAATACTGCTCATGGAGTTAGAAAATGCTCTCTTCAGTCTTTCCCACAGCACTATTCGCCTGATTTCTGTAGGGTGCCAGCACGAATTTAAGAAGACAAGGGAAGCAGTGCTGTGCAAAGAGTCTCGAGCAGATGTAGAGCGCGTCCCTCTGTCCCAGTCCTGAGGTGAGGGCTGAAAGAGGTCACTCGGCCCTGCGGCGCCGGGGAGGGAGGGGGGTCAGGGACAAAGGTCGCGGGAAAACTACGCGGGAGTCAGAGAACAAGCTGTGCTCATTCGTTATCTGCAGAAATTACCTTGCGGGTCCTCTAATAGTTCAGGAAAACTTTCATTGCATGACAGTTTTTCGATTGGTTTTATTATGCTTTCTTCTAAAGAGAAGGCAGGCGGAAAGAGAGAATGAATAGTGAGGAGAATGTTACAGAGAAAGCAGAGAGAAAAACGAATCAGATGATTCACGAAAGGACCCTGAGGAGGTGCCCCGTGCGTCGCGGCTTCCCTTGGCACTGACTGTGCGTCGCCCAAAGCTGCAGTGCTGTCACCTGAACTTGTGTAACTGCTTGGTTCTGTGAATACTGTTTTTAAATAACAGAGGAAAAACGAGGAAACGACAGAGCCGCGCCTTAGCTCTATTAAGTGGGTGAATGAAGTCTTTAACAGTGTGAGACCCGGTACAAAAAAAAGAAAAAGAAAAAGAAAAACTTCAGGCTGGGGATTTAGCGCAGCGGTACAGCGCCTGCTTGGCAAGCGCGAGGTCATGAGTTCAATTCCCGGTACCGGAAAACAAAACAAAACAAAACAAAAAGAGTGTGAGACGTGGTAAAACGTGCAAGAGCAGTTTTACCTCTCACGTCAGGACCCCGCGTCAGGCTGCATCCTTGCTACAGCCAGTGAAAAGCACCGAAAATCCCAAAATGGCGCCGGCCAGGACACACTTCTTTGTCCTTCAGATCCCACGCGCATGCGCCAACAAACCTCCACTCCTCTCAAAATACAACACTCCGCCTGCTCCTATTAACTCCAACCCTAGTCTAACCTAATAAAGACCCATTCCCCAGCTCCCTCCTCTGAGGGTCCTTGCAATCTTCTGCAACCCTCCTGCACCAGCAATAAAGGCTTGCTTTTATCTCCCTCTGTCTCCTGCTCTACCTGGTGCCAAACCTAACAGTCAAACTTTAAAAATCTAATACCACCTCTTTCTTGGTTTTTGTTTTTTGTGGTAAATGGGGACTGAACCCAGGGTCTTCCCACTTAGTTACGTCTCTGGCCCCTTTTTATTTTTTATTTTGAGACAAGGTCTCACTAAGTTACTAAATTGCCTAGGCTGCACTTGAACCTGCAGTCCTCCTGCCTCAGCCTCCCTGGGGTTATAGGTGTACAACACCACGCCCAGGCACCACCCACATTTTAAAGTGACAGTGTATTTCTTCATACACTTTTAAGTTGGTATCTGTTCATCATAAGTTAACAGTTGCAAATGATGTTATTTCTGGAATACTGAAATTATAAATATTTGAAAAATAAAACCATTATATCTTTCCTTTAAATATAACCTATGGAATCTAAATAGCATGTGACTTTATGCCCACCAATACTGATGTAAAAATATATCCACTCACATTTGGAAATTTCACATTAATCCTCCTCTCCTAAAATTACTTTTCCTTTCTTTCCTTCTCTCTCTTTTCTTTCTTTCCTACTCTCTTTTCTTTCTTTCTTTTCTTTCTTTCTCACTCTCTTTTCTTTCTTTCTTTTCTTTCTTTCTCTTCCTTCCTTCCTTCTTTGCATTTTCCTCCCTCCTTCTCTCTCTCTCTCTCTCTCTCTCTCTCTCTCTCTCTCTCTCTCTCTCTTCTTTCTAGAAAGGGCCTTACTGTGTTCAGGCTGGCCTTGAACTCACTATGTAGCTCAGGCTGGCCTCAAACTCCTGCCTCAGCTTCCTCAGTGCTAGGATTACAGGTGTGTGCCGCCATACCTGGCCTTAAAATTATGTATTTTTTATAGTGCTAGGAATAGAGCTCAGGGCTTTGTATATCCAGGCAAGTGCTCTACCATGAGCTACCACCCCACCCCTAAAATTATATTTTCATTTATAGCTTAGCTTCCAAAAAATATTTTTTTTTGAGACAGGGTCTTGCTATGTAATACAGGCTGGCCTTGAACTTACTTATGTAGCCCAGGCTGGCCTCAAATTCACAGTGATCCTCCTGCCTCAGCCTCCTCAGTGCTGGGATCATAGGTGTGCACTTCCAAATTTTATCCAAATATACTTTTATGCTTGTATGTCTTTAAACTGATCACTCAAAAATACGGATGAATTTTAGAAAGTTTTAAGTTTCTGTAACCATATTACTTTTTTCTGCATTAAGTTATAATTAGAATGATTCATTATATAAAATTAATTGGAAAAGATGAATGTTATAGATTTCCATTACTAAACACGAAAAGCCAGTTTTCTTAGAAACACGTTTCTGTCCCTGTCTCTCTGACAACTGAACAGCCTTCATACTGAGCAACATTCTTAGCCCTTTTTATTTTCAAGTTGAGACAAGTTTCCACTAAGTCACTAGTTTGCCCAGGCCAGACTCAGACTTGAGATCCTCCTGCCTCTGCTTTCCAGTGTGCTAGGATTACAGGTTAACGCCCCCACGCCTGGCTCAGAAACACATTTCTTAACGAGGAAAATGAGACTCTTTTCAAACAGCTTAAGTTTAACAAATGAAGGTTGTGGGAACCACCTTCATGCTGACAGGGCTCAGCATCTGTCCCTGTCTGTGTCTATCTCTGTCTGTCTGTCTCTCCTGTACATAGAACCATTGAGAAACTCTGTTAAGCGAGAAGTTTCTGGGAACTAAAAGTGTTTCTTCACAGCTTTGCTGGTCTGGTCTTCTTTTCTGGTTTACTCCTCAGAGCTGCAGACCAAAAAAAGTACACAAACCACGCATAACAGTGGTCTGTAATTACCGTCAGCTCACAACTGCAGCTCACATCTTCAACTTCCTGAAAGCTAAGAACTGAAAGCCTCCTGCCTTAGAAAAGATTCTCTAGGGGTGGTGTCGCACACCCGAGATCCCAGCGCTCAGGAGGCTGAGATGGAAGGATTGCTATGAGTTTGAGGCCATACTGAGTTCAAGCTCAGCCTGAACTATGAAGTAAGACCTTGTCTCAACCAAAACAGAACAGAACAAAACAAAAACCAAGGCCAGGCATGATGACCCACACCTGTAATCCCAGCACTCAGAAGGCTGAGACAGGGGAATTGCTATGAATTTGAGGGTAGCCTGGGCTACAAAGTGAATTCAAGCAATTCTTAACTGCACAGTGAAACCCTGTCTCAAAAAAACCCCAAAAACAGAAAACAAAAAAGAAAGGATTTTCTGCACAGTCTTCCAAGGGTCACTTATTTTCTCACCACTGACTTCAGCGTAACAAATGGCCCCGTTGCTTGGCAGGAAGATGTTCTTCCGCTTTGGGGGGAAACACATCACCTTAACCTGTGAGAAGCCTTCTTTTCTTTTGTGAAGTAGAGGAACTGAGGAACACCTTGTTATTCAATAAGGCTGATCTACTGAGGACAGAACTTGCACGGAAGGAAAAGATCTGGCAAAGGATTTCCTTACAACTGCCTGTGATCACGTGTTATCTGCAAAGCCTTCCGGTCCCCCTGCTAGGGCACACACACGCCCACTGGAGGGGCTATCTAGCATAGGTGAAAGTAAACATCCCTAGACAGCAAGCAGCACTGATATCTTAGATGTACTCTTGTGTTACCTGCATTATTTCTTTTGAAAGCAACTTCTGCTCCCACAGGTCCCAGGGACTTAGGAAATAGCTGATTGTTCCAGGCGTATGAGTTGATGTCCTTCCCGCTGGTTCTGAGGGACACGTGCTTGGGATTTACACCTTGGAAGAACAAAGCAGTGATTTCAGTGCTCACAGGCTTGAAGGAAAAATAGGATCTGTCTGAACAAAGCCAGACAGACTGTGGACAGGAGACCAGAGCTAAATTTAGGTTGAAAAGTAGCAAATACTTGCTTTTTGAAGAACCATAACAAGATCCTAACCCCTCTGCCACACACTTTATAAACAGGTCACACTTTCTATAATTTAAGTAACTGCAAACATTTGACCCTCTTCTTATTTGTCTTGCAAAAACTGGGAAGGCACAGACTTGTTTTTCAAAACCACTGGCAGTTCCTTGTCATTCCCTGAAATGTACACTTGGAGCCAGACCTTGGTGAACAGCTGGCCTCACAGAGAAGGCCGATGTGTGATCTGGAACCCAGGAAAACCCAAAAAGCTCCGAAGCAGACATGTGAAGAGCCATGTGGGGCGCTTATTTGCATACAATGGTGGTCTCCAGCATTTTTGGTCCCAGGGCCAGGTTCTGTGGAGGCCAGTGTTTCCATGGACCTGGGCGGAGGTGGCTTGGGGATTAGATTCTTTCTCACAAGATTCCTCTCACGCACGTTCACAGTAGGGTTCGCGCTCCTATGAGAACTCAGTGCCATGCCGGATGCGACCGGAAGCTTGGGTGCTGAGGGCGCGAGGGGGAAGGACCAGAGTGATGGGAAGGCAATACAAAGGATGCTTTGTGGGCTGTGCTGGACGAAAGCTCACCTCCTGCTGTGTGTCCTGGTCCCAAGCAGGACTGCACCCGCCCACAGCCCTGGGGTGCTAGCGGTCCAAGGGGCTGTTTTAAACTTTTGAAAGAGATCTGAAGACTTCTTGACTGGGTCTGGTCAGGCCTTGGCGTCCCGCGTACCTCCTCATCAGCTCATGTGGGCACCCTCTCGGAGGAGGACTGAATTAATTTAGGAAGTCAGAACTGTTCTGGGAAGGATAAGCTTTTGCTTATTGCAAACTGGATCCCTTACAAGTTTCACATTCATGAGACAGGCATAGGGATTATCCATGGGCAACAAAAGGGTTTAAACCCTCAGGAGCAAAATTCCCCTTACAGCAAGCTGCCAGCACCGAGATCAAGACCGTGTGCAGCAGAAATCAATCTGTCTGGGTGAGGAGGAGCCTCCTGCACCCCGTCACCCTCCGCCTGTGACCGGCAACCTCCATCACAGCTGGCTGAGCCTGAAGGGTTAGCCAGGGGGCGAGACACCCTGGAAATGCGATGTCTGCATCCTTGGAAGCCTTTCCCATGCCCTCAACCCCTTACAAAGACCTAGCCCCTCACCCCTATGTGAGATTCCTCCCGGAAACCTGCCCACCGTCCCTCTTAGCAAAGTAGCCTGACCTAAACAATCCCTAACGTTTCTCTGCTCCTTGGCTGTGAGTGGACTCTTTCCCACTCTTGGCCCAAGTGGCTAACAGTGCCGTTTCAGAGGAGGAATGCGGAGCCTCAAACGCGCCCGTCACCGGTTCTATAAGAGCCACTCCACGGACTACTGTTCCTTCCCTTCTTCCTCTCTCCTTTCCAATTCTTTTCATTTGTACTCTACTTTTTTTATTTTGAGAGCAGGGGTGTCTCACTAAGTTGCCTAGGCTGGTCTTGAACTCACAGTCCTCCCACCTCGCTCTCCCAAGTAGCTGGGTGGGCACAAACACCCCTGGCTAATTTGTCTTTTTTCCCTTTTTAAAACATTTCCCTTCCTTATAGGATATAACTCTGTATGGATTTTGGCTTCTAATAAAACAGAAATAGAGCCATAGCAGGTGATTATCTAACAAACAGGAACAATTCCTTGGCAATTCCCTGTATTAAAACATTTTCACTCAATAAGAAAGTACAAGGTAGAGGAAAAATTACGGCCTGGGCAAAATCCCTAGTTTCTTTTTTCCCTAAAGAAAATACATGTACTATTGAAGATAACTGATTTAATTTAAGGACTTATGATAAAGATTCCAATTTTATTTGGAATAGTTTTATCACAGAAATTATTTATTAGCATATAAGCTTTCATTGGAATCTTCAATATACCAAATGCAGGCGCAGAAATTAAATACATGTTAATATCATCATTTGCTATTATAATGATACACAGCATTGCCTGATGATAATCTTTGACATTACAGGAGATTTAAAAAAGTCATTTAACAAATAATTACTGACTGGGCATGGTGGCACACACCTGTAATCCCAGTACTTGGGAGGCTGTGGCAGGAGGATCATTGTGAGTTCAAGACCAGCCTGGGCCACAAAGTGAGCTCAAGGCCAGCCTGAACTACATAGCGAGACCGTCTCAAAAAGACAAAATAAATAAATAAATAAAATTAAAAACAAACGAATAATTACTGACCACTCCTGTGTGCCAGGCAGTGTATGTGGTACTGGAATAAAAGTGGTGAGAAATAAATAAGTCAGTTTCTACTCTTTTGGCTCTTTCCATCTAATGAGAAGGAAGACATTTGTAGTTACAATTAATTAATTGGCAGTGTGCAAACTGTTTAGTGGAGGGTAAATATCAGAAGCAACAGAATCCTTAAGAAAAAAGCCATCTCGCCAGGTGTAGTGGCGCATACCTGTAATTTCAGCACTTGGGAGGCTGAGGCAGGAAGGTTGTTGTGAGTTTGAGACCAGCCTGGGCTACAAGGTGAGCCCAAGGCCAGCCTGAACTGGACAGCGAGACCCTGTCTCAAAAAGATAAAAAAAAGAAAAAGAAAAAAGCCATCTGAAGCTGGGCTGAGAATGGCACCCCAGGGGTGGGAAAGTGTTCCCAGGAGAGGGGAGGGCGAGGGCCAGGCCCCGGGACTGGAGACTGGGAACTCAGGGACGTGGCCCGCATGCAGCAGGCACAGGTGCGGGACCACGCCAGCCTGCAGCGGGAGGAGCGGTCGGGTCCAAGGACTCTGTGTCATCTTAAGAAATGGAAAATGGACTGGGCGAGGTGATTACAGAAACTGTGCAGGCCACTCACTGGCTAGGAGGGGTGGAGAGAGGAGGGCAGGGAGAAGCCTCCTCCGCGCAGGAGCTCAAGCGAGCTGTGCACCGCTGTGCGGGCTGGCATGGGTGGCACGGGTGCCGCGGGCTCATACTTGGCGTCCAGGCTCCAGGCACAGGGACTGAGGCAAGAGGGCAGGCGTGAGGGACCCTGGGTGCTTCCCCTGTGCTCTGCTGCAGCCACTCCGGGATAATGCAGCACCCCAGACTTACAGGGGAGCTGAGACATGACCGCAGTTCCACTGCAGGTTCAGAAAACAGAAACTTAAAATCCTGCTCCAAGGGCCCAGTCTGCCAGGAGCCACCAGTACCTATGACACTCGCGTCTCTTTCCCTGAAGGCCAGTGTCACACATACCTGGTCCTTGCAGTACAATGCCATGTTGCCCCGCAATGTATGGTACATTTCTAGAGTTCTCATCATCCTGAAGGTCAGTATGTGACCTTTCCAGGTAAAAAGAAGGAAGTGCGCAATGATATGACTCCTTGTATTTGAAGATATTCAACTATGAAAGTAGCAATGTGTCCTAAGCAAGTACCCAGGATTGCTCCTTACTCGGGGTTCTGACGTCTGCAAACCTGCTGCTTCACACTAAGTGCTCAGTTAATATTTGTCCAAGGGACTGACCCGAGCCCAGTTCTGCCTTCAAATCTCAGCTAGTCCCGAATGGAGGGCAGGGGGCGCGCATCTTCCTGCAAAGAATGTCAGCAGGGTAACAGCTAGCCTTATGTTTTGGTTTGAAGCAGTTCTTTGTCACTTTGAGTCTACTTTCTTTCTCTTTCAATTTTTAAAATTTGTGCAAGTACACGTCTGCAGTACATAATGATCACATTTGTCTTTGGGGGCTGGTACATGTGGAGCGTACTCTCTCTGTCTCAGTGACATCCATACGTTGCTCCCAGGTGACTGTGGAATTCCTTAGGTCTTTCTAGTTAAAAAGAAAACAACGGGACAGGTCCCAGACACCCACAAATGTGTTCCTGAATGCCACATCAGAAAGCAGAACCACAAAAAAGTGGTGGTCCGCATCTGTTTATCCTTTGCCAATCATTTACAGTAATCACTTCCACCACCAGAGGGCTCCCTTCTATTATTACTGAGGCAAGGACTGACTTGGTACATTTCAGGCAGTGAAATGGACTTGATCTTTGTTTTTTAATCCAGAGGAAGGTGTTCCCCATGAATCTGTGTTATGAAATCTCTGTCACAGCCCTGTGGCCTGAGGTGAGAGGAGAACTCTGATGGTTTCAATGCCGACAGGTGCAAAGGTACCGGTAGCAAGAGTTTTCCGCTCAAACGGTTTTGCTCTTTCAGAAGTGCACCTCACCCTGGTGTGTGGACTCCACGCCTGTCAGCTTCCCAAGGACCTCAGCCCCCATCGCCCCTCTTCCCCCGCACCCTCTCCCCGTGTAAGGGATGATTTCCGTGACAGGCAGACCCCTCCGCAGCCCCCAGGACAAAGGCACCCCAACTTCCCCCACGGTGGTTCCATTCCTCAGCAGAACGCCCCAAAGAATACTTCACACTTCTCACTCCCTACTTCCCTGCCTCTAATCACTCTGTAAGCCCTCCCACCCGGATCCCCCTTCACCCACTCCAGACAGAAACTACGCAACGTCACCAGCGATGTCGCCACTGTCCAGTTTAGTATTTCTGTCCCTTCCTACCCAGCAGCTCAGCGCTTAACAGCCTTCCCTTCTGGCCTCGGGACACCCCATCCGGGCTTCCGCGTCTGACCAGCTGCCTTCTCCCCTCCCTCTCCCAGGAAGGCACACGGCTCCTTCTCCCAGCCTCTCCCCGGTGATCCAGTCCAGTCCTGTGGATTTAAATGCTGCTGTCCACATGCTGGCAATTTCCATGTCTCTCCTCTTGGGCCCAGGAACCCCCTCAGTGTCCTGGTCTCTCTTGTCCCGCCATCTCTGACTTCTCCTCTGCCTGCTGGTCTGTTTCCCAAGCATCTCCAATGTAAGGCCCCCAACAGCACAGCAGGCCTCCCTCCACCCAGCCTGATCCCCCTGCCTTCCCCATTTCACTCCGCCCAGCATGTGAGCCCCAAACTCACTCTTCTCTACATCCCAGTATCTCACCAGCAAGTCCACCTCCAAAGTGCACAGGCGTCCACTGGCCTCTACCCATTGCTGTCTGTCCCCGGATGAGGGCAGCAGACTCCTAACCAGCCTCCTTCAGCTGCCCTGGTCCTTGGGTGATCTGTTCTTTTTTGGGGAGAGGGTGATTTGTTCTTCACATGGCAGACAGAGGGTCTCTCCAACGCACACATCAGACACTGCTCACCTCCTGAATTACTCCAAGGCCTTGCAGTAAACGCAGAATAAAACCCAAGTTCCTTCCCCGCCTCAGGGCCGGCCTTCGAGACCCACCCCCTCAGCTCAGGAGCCTTGGAGGGCGAAGCCTTTGGAACTCAAGAACGTCTCTGGGAAACCCCTGCTCCCCACGCTGCACACACGCTGGCTCCTGCAGGCAGCTCCTCACTCCCTCTGGTTTGCTCTGCTCTCCACGGAGCGGAGGCTCTGCACAGCCCTGGCAGCGCCCAGAGCCGCGGGGACCTGGCACGCACCAGGTTCTTCCCGCATCACCACTGCGCGCATGAGTGACCCGGAGGAAGGAATCAGTGAGACACAAGTGCCTGCCCCTCCTGCCCGCAGGTCCCGGCGTTTCCTCCCATGAAGTGTTGCTCGTCCTTGAGAAACCAGGAGACACTACTGACACGACACAGGCCAAGCCTTCCCTCTGCCGCTCCCCCTACACCATTTCTCTGATTTTATGACCCAGCTTTTCAGGCCCGTCCTCATTCCCACTCTGGTGCCTCGGAGCCAGAACAGTGTCCTTACAACAAAACAAACATCATTCAGCCTGCTCAGATCTCCGAATACCCAGGCGGGTAGGTTTTGCCGCATCCCTGAGGACTGCATCGCAAGCTCCTCAGCCTCACGGCGCACCTCGGCGGCCTCCTCCTGCCCTCAGCACAGCAGTCCACCCCAGGCTTCATTCTCCCTACAGCGATTTCGACTCAGCACCCGTGGCTGAACCTGCTCGGGCACTAGGCCTTCTGTTGTCTGTTTTATTCACTTCTAAACCTTCTTATCCGTGTCTTCTTATCACTGTCTAACAACAGGACTGGGTAGCAGCTGGATCCCTAGAGCTGAAATGTGTGCAGCTGCCTAACAAGTACAGAGGGAAACATGTCCTGTATCAGCCTCTCCCCCATCTCCTTGCCAACCAGCTCCGGGAACTGAGGACTGGCCACTCTGGAGACAGACGTGGGAGAGGTGGATCTTCCTCCGCAAACGACGGAGTCTACAGAAACACAAAGCCAAGCGGCATCTCTTCCTTTCGTCAGACTCGAAGCATCTGTTTAAAAACTGATTTTCTTTCGTACTGCACTGAATTTTAGGATTTTCTCTGGACAGAACGCTTGGAGAGGGTACATCCCGGACTTCCCACTGTCTCTCCAGACCGTTCCTCCTCGCTCCGGGTCCGCTCCCCCAGCTGGCTAGTGGAGAGGCCGGCCGGTCTCTGATTGTCCACCTCCACCATGCTGTCCTCTCGAGACCTTCTCTGCCCCACTGCCAAGTCAAAACCCACCTGCTGACACGATTCCTTCCCTTCCGTGCCACTACCGAAGCTCATTCATTAGCAAGTCCTACTGGTTCCACCACTCGATACATCCGTTCCTTTCTCCTGTCCTCCCTCCCTCCCTTCCATTTTTTTTTTTTTTCCTAGTGGTAGGGATTCAACCCAGGCCCTTCACACTGAGCTACACCTCCAGCCCTTTTTATTTTTTACTTTCAGACAGGATCTTGCTAAGTCACTAAGTTGTCCAGGGTTGCCTCAAACTTGAAACCCTCCTGCTTCAGCCTCCCAGAGTGCTGGAATTAGGAGGCCTGTGCCACTATACCCAGGTTTGCATGTCTTAAGAGGTAAGGGGTGCAGAAAGTCCTTGGCAGCAGACGTAGCCACCGAAGAGCCCTGTGATTATACATTCTGTACTACTCTGTGCCCTTCCGAGAGACTGCAGAGTGCCTGGCCGGACCTGTCTGTCTTCTGTTTGGCAGGAAACATTTCGTTTTCTCTGCTCACCTGGAAGGTATCTTGATTGTTTCAAGTAGTACTGCTTGGGTGCAGACATAGCTGACAACTCCGAGTCAGATTTGAGGGACACAACAGCAGGTACACTCTTGTTTTCCCGGGGCAGGTGGCTGGAGCCTAGCAGTCCTGACTCTGGAAGCCTGGGAAGCCGACAGGAGATAGTGTTAGGACTGACCCTTCCCGCCCTCCATCCGTCCTTTTGACTCTCAACGCGACTTCCCAAAACAGTTTCTGTGAGTCCTTGTGCGGATGGGATTGGTGATGACTCCCCCGCCCAGACCTTAGCAGCATGGAGAGTTTTTTCTGGTCCCAGACAGGATGTGGATGGAGCTTTCTTTTGGCAGTACTGGGGACTGAACCCAGGGCCTTCACACGGAGCTACTTCCCCGTTCTTTATCTGTTTATTTCGTTATTTAGACAGGATCTCTGAAGTCACTAAACTGCCCAGGCCGGGTTCAGACTTGCAACCCTTCTGCCTCAGGACACTGGGCTGGCAGAACCAAGCAGCAGAGGACGGATGTGCCCTACGTGTTCTTGTCTTTTCTGGAACTGTGCCCCGCAGCCACTGCTGTGCAGGAACAGATGACTCTGAAGGAGACGTTAGAACCCTGGCCTCTATTTCTCCCTTTCTGCTTGCTGACTGCCATGAGCGAACTGGCCTCCTCTGCCTCGTCTTCCCACCACGCTGCGTTGGGCCTGTGCCAAGGGACCATGGACTGAAACCGTGAGTCAAATAAATCTTCTCTATAAGCTGACTGCCTCAGTTACTTTGTCAGAGTGGTGGAAAGCTGACTACTACAGGGGGAAGTGGACTTTTTCTCAAGTTCAGGTATTTTAGGGATGAGACCTGTGGAACATGAGGACCTGGACATGGACTGGTTAAGAATTAGCCAAGCACTTGATGCTTTAGAAATTCTTTATGTGTCCTCAGGGGTGTGTGCACCTTAGAGTGATGGGCTGTGCCCTGGGCCACAAGGAATGGCTATAGATAAGCTTCCCCGATGCAGGACACAACTCTTCTCCTTATTCTTCTGTCTCAAAGAGGAAAAAACTGAAGGTACAGTCAGTCCCCAAAGGGTCACATCATCAAGGATGACCTAACTTATAAAAAGAAATGAAACTGTCAAAGGTATTGAACTTCCAGAAGGATTGGGAAGCAACCAGCAAAAGTTTACAGGCAAGCTAAGAACTAAACCTTAACACTGTCGGAGGCCTCGCTGACTCTGTATATGGTGCCCTGCTTCCTGCAGACAGACACATGGATTTCCAAGGAGAACAGTGATCGTGATTAGCAAGAGCACCACACAAACAAGAGCCCTTCCCTGCACTCAAACGTGTGTGCGCACACACACACACACACACACACACACAGGTAAGTGCTCACAAACACATAGCACTCATCAATTACTGTAAGAACAGTCCTACTGTTTTAGAGGCATTCACAAAGATCTGAGTTTTACAGAAGAAAAATAAACTACCTCTTTGTGCTTTAAGGTCTGTATTTATTCACGTGTAATAAAATAAGGTTGATGCATAGTAAAAATATGAATTTAAAACCTTACCGAAACGGAGGGTCTTTTTTCCTCTTTTCTTTGAAGACACTGATGCTTGGCTTCTTGGAATGGGAGGCTCCGAAATCACTGTCCTCAAACTCCTCCCAGCCATCTCCAGACTTGAAGACAGCCTGGCCCCAGCGCCTCCTCGCGGTTTTGTGACCCAGGGTGCCCACGGACTTCTGTGTGGAAAGCCAGCATTGTAATCTTTAACAGTCTTCTGGATCCTTTTACACATAAAAGATCACATCAGACATTGAGTCCCCGTGCTTTGCAGAGCCTTCCGCAGACAGTCCTGTGTTGTCACGCACCACTTCATCACAGGACACGCTCTTACAAAGGCATCCTGGGGTGACTGGCGCTGTACAAACATCACAGAGGGCCCTCACTCAACCCTGCATGGCACAGCCTACCACACGCCCAGGCTGAAGGCTACAGCCCGCTGCTCCTCAGCAAGCAGCCTGCCCCGTAGGTCACCGTGCCAAATGCAGTGGCCACGACACAGGGGTTGGCATTTGTGTGTCAGAACACACCTGAGCTCAGAAGCAGTGAGGAGGGGGTGGGGCGGAAGCTTAGTAGCAGAACACATGCTTAGGGTATGTGAGGCCCTGGGTTCAACCCAGTGTGCGCGCACACACACATGCACACACATGTGCACACACAAATACTCAAAAGAAAAGGTACATGAAATCCAGCATAACAGGATACAGACAATGCTCCTTAGCTTGAATGGAGCCTGCAGGACCAGGATTGCTCTGGGTGAGTCAGTCACTGGATCAGTAAATGTGAAGGCCCAGGGCATGGCTGTATGGTAATGGTGGGTTTTATAAACACTTTTCTTTTTCTTCTTTTGAGACAACATCTTGCAGTGCAGGTGGACCTTGAGCTTGCAGTGTAATCCTTAACTCATGATCCTCCTGTCTCAGCCTCTCAAGTGCTGGGGTTATTACCATGTACAGTCAAAAAGTACTTTTCTTGGTTTATAGTAACTTTTTACTTTATAATCTTTAAATACTTATAAACTATTTTTAAATTTGTAATTTGTAAACTTGCAATGACAGCTTAGAAGACCAGGACATTCTAGGTGACAGGAACTTTCCAGCTCCATGATAATCTTATGGGACCACCATGATATATGCAGTGCATTGGGGATGGTAATGTAGTTATGTCATTGTTATGGGTGATACATTGTGTCAACTTGGGGAGTCTAGAGGTTTGGCTAAGTGACTCAGCAGGAAGCCAGGGTGCTTACTTTGTATACATCCTGAGCCTGTGGAAGAGGAGTGCATGGGGATTATGTGAGAGCTACATGCCCCTTTGGTGGGGTAGCCTGTTTACAGTGTGAGGGAGGGAAAGAAGCTGCTTGCCGCCATTCCCCCCTTTGCTCTTTCTGCTCTTTCTGCTTTGCTACCTTCTGCCTCGGAGCCAACCAAGTGTGGACTGAGACCTCCACAAACTGTAAGCAAAATAAACCTTTCCTTCCTTCATTTTGGGCGTTGGGTATTTTGTCTCAGCAACGAGAGAAAAGTAACCAAGACAGTCATCATGACTGTACTTAAGGAGGTAATATATATGCACTTTAAAAGCACTAACAAAATAGCATGGGCCCCAAATCTGATGGGTGTTCAGAGGGAGGCAGGATCACTGTGAATTTGGAGTGGCGGGAATGTGAGTACTCAGGATCTGAGTTGACTCTTCTTTAATGTTAATGATCAAGGAAAGGGGATGTCTTACTTACTTTTCTCTTGTTGCTGAGACAAAATACCCAACACCCAAAGTTAAAGGAGGAAAGATTTATGTAGCTCACAATTTGTGAAGGTTTCAGTCCATGATCGGCTGGCTCCAAGGCAGGGTGGCACATGGCAGAGGGGCAACAGTTCATGGTGGCAGAAGACAGCAAAAGCAACAAAGGAGAGCAAGGCAAGCCTCTTTCTGGCCCTTATTTTGTATCTAGTCTACTGGGATTAGGGTGGTGCCAACCCAATCAGTGAATGATCCAGCCATCACCCACCCTTAATCCCAGGACCCTTAATCCTAGCATTGCACTGTGAATCAATCACACACACTAGATTCAACCCCTCTGAAGAAGCCCCACCGAAAACTGCATGAGGCTTTGGGGGGACATTTGGACACAAACCACAACCTGGGGCCTTGGCTGAGTCTCCTTGGGCAAGTGACTCAGCTTTCCACAGCTCTAAAGTCCTTCTTAAACAGGGATGGCCTTAAAGAGGAGGCGCTAAGGCTGGTACATCCGGTGTCGTTTCCTGCTTCCTTCTCCAAACGCAGATGGACACCGGAAGAGCGACCGCCACCTTGTGGCCACAGACAGAAAGCCGCCTGCTGAGGGGAAGAGACAGAAAACAGAAGCAGCCGCTTTCTCCTCCTCGGGAAGCTGCCTGAGCTCTGGCTGCCCACCAACCCACTTCTTGGTAAGTGAAAGAAACACCCCTGCGTTTAAGCCCCAGGGTCAGGTTCTGCAGTACGTCACTGAGTAATCCTGACAGACACAGACAGGCAGAGAGCGGGGGCGACTTTAAAAGTCTGAGTGATCATCTCAGAACGCTGGCTCTAGTCACAGAAAAAAGGAAAGAAAGCTTGGCCTGGGCTGGTTTTACACAAATTTACAGAGAGTGTTCTGGGAGCACATGAACTGCAAAATCCACCAGTCCATCCCAAACTAGGGAACGGAGCGATGTTGGCGGCAAGAAGATGCCGATGGGATCGACGTGCTGCCGCAGGAAGCTGGCGGTCCAGGGATGGGGGCTCGCCAACATCTGCACTGGCATTGCCTCTGCCCAGGAGAACGAGCTGCGGATGCCGGGGTTAGTGAAAGCTCACACCTCGCTGGGCCCTGGCTCCCCTTCAGCTGAACCATACTTTAAGAAACCAAAGCAGAAGAGGGCTCAGCGGGGCCAGCAATATCCAAGCACCCCTGGTGTCTGGGAAGATGGAGGGAGCAAACAGGAATGATGGTCATCAAGTAGGAAGTTTAGCAAACTCCATTCCAAAAGGTCTGGTCTAAAACGCAGGCGCAGACTCTCAGAGCCACTGTTGGTGAGGCCTAAGGAGAACTAGTGGGTCACACAGGCCCCTGCTTTTCACTGAGAGCAAGCAACGCCGCCATTAGATGCAGGGTGCACGGGCCTCAGTCAAGTCAGGACAGAAGTTTCCATGATGTGCTTTTCAGCGAAAAGCAGCGAAGGACAGCAGAGATGGATCAGCGCATGCTCAATAATTTGACAGACTGCTGCTTAGTGGGTCACCGTGAATTTAAAGGGCAGCCCCAGGGGCCGGCTCAAGGCTCACTGCTTTTCTCTTCATCATGGAGATACAGGAAGAAAAACAAAACTAAACAAATCCATAGATGGCAAGAAGTTGGAAGGAATAGTTAAACTGAAAAGAGTTGAAGCATATAGTTAGAAGTCTGGGGAGTAAAAGCGAGGTCTTGGAACCGTTTGACTTCTAGAGATCAAATACTTAAACAGAAGTGCAGAATAGGGGCTGGGGATTTAGCTCAGCGGCTAAAAGCGCCTGCCTGGCAAGCGCAAGGTCGTGAGTTCGGTTCCCGGTACCGGAGAAAAACCAAAAAAAAAAGAAGTGCAGAATATATGATTGAATAGAAGGATTACAGAAAACATGGAAATTTCAGCTGACACACTGCTCAGTCCCGGTCCAGGAACTTATCAGCTGCATGAAAATGTGAGGCGGGGTTAATGCAGGTAGGGGGTGGAGCACAGTGCGTCGCACTTGGTGACGTGATGACGTAATACAGAGTAACTCCCGCTCCTTTCCTCAGTGTGCACCGACAGTGGATGTGACTTCCGGGGGACGGTGGGTGCAAGCACTGTGGCCCGAGGTCCTGGAATGCTGGTAGTGGCTCATGCCGCTTGACCCCTGCCCGCCAGCAGCCCCGCGCTGAGTGGGAAGCAGGAGGCCTGTTGTTGACTAGGGGTCACTTGAGCAGCCCCTGAGGGATGTGGGGACGTTTCCCCCAGGGGCACATCCTACAAGGGCTACTTTCAGATACTGTAGTTAAAGAGCTGCCTTTCGCAAGAGCGACTGGCTTTTATGAAAAGCTACAGAAGACCAGATTTCTCGCTCAGGATATAGAACTTTCTACTCCTCGGGACTGACACGGAGATGAAGCAGACTCCTCCAGACCCTGGAGGTCGTCTGAAAATACTGTGCAGTACTTGCTCCTTCATGCAGACTCCTGAGAATGTGCTGTGTGGCGGGCACCGTGCTGGGACCGGGGGCTGTGCTGACAGACAGAAGGACTCCTCACAAAGCCTGCCTTCTAGTTCTGGCTGTGCACAGTGGATTTACTGAAGAGGGAAGACCCGGGCTGCGTGTGGCGGCACCAACCAAGAGGCTCGTAGAATAAAAAAGGAAAGAAGGAAGGCTCCCCACTTCCTGTGTGCTCCTCCGCGATGGCCCTCTGCCATGCCGCTCTGCCTCAGAGCCAGCCGATTATGGACTGAAACTTCTACAGACTGAGCTAAAATAAACCTTTCTTCCTTGAACTTGTGGTTGTTGGGTATTTTGTTCCAGCAACAAGTAAGACAGACAATGGTACTTGATGGGCTCTCACCCCCGAACACCAGTGGGAAGAGATCGTTTTAGTCTGAGCCTGATACCTAAAAAACCCATTCTGTTCATCTTCATTAATACTTAAAAACAGTGTGAAATTACTGTTAGGACCTTAAGATTTAGGATCAGTATTCTCGAGTACTCTTTATTTTTTTTTGTATGAAGCCAGAACCCAAGGCCCTCTTACGGAGCTACTTCCTCAGCCCCTTTTAAAAATTTTAAATTTTGACTTCTTCCTTTTTTTTTTTTGGTACTGGGAATTGAACTCACTATCTCCTGTTTGCAAGGCAGGTGCTATGTCGTTGAGCTATATCCCTGGCCCCAAAACTTTTAATTTTGACACAGGGTCTCAGTCAGTCACTAAGTTGCCCAGGCAAGGCTTGAACCTGGATTCTCCAGCCTTAGCCTTCCACAGTGCTGGGTTAATAGGCTTCCACTACCAAGCCCAGCTCTGGTTCTTTTTATTTCTTTGAATTCTTTTGTGTGGAAGTAACTATTAAAGGAAATCTGCAGCATGCCTACTTTTAAATTTTTATGCCACAAGTTATTCTCTTTTATACTCTATTAGAATGTCTTTTTGCTTTTGTTTTTGGTCTTTTGAGACAGGGTCTCACTATGAGGTTCAGGCTGGCCTTGAGCTCCCGTTGTAGCCCAGGCTGGTCTCGAACTCCAAGGATCCTCCTGCCTCAGCCTCCCGAGTGCTGGGATTACAGGCGTGCACCACCACACCTGGCCACCCTATTAGAACGTTATGTTGTCTCGTGTCGAGCTCCTCCCGGAAGAAGCAGGCCTTTAATACAGAACAGTCTTTTACATCTCCCTCAACATTACTAGCAATGCCTGGAGACGGAACCCTAACTGCACCAGCCCAGCTCTTTCCTTTAGCGTATCGTTGTTGGCTACTTACAGCGGGCACGTTTTTGAGGATGCTTGGAAACATCTGCGCTGGTTTCTGTTGAGTCTGTTGCTTCGGGGGTGGCGGGGTCCCCACGTTCTGCAGCAGCTGGATGGACTGCAGAGGTTGGTGGCTGTGTTTTGGCTGGGATGGTGTGACAGTCTGGTCAATGACATCTGGCAGAGTCTTAGGTTCCAGTTCAGCTGAAGATGGCTTTGATTCTACAGGCTGCAGCTGCTTCTTTAAAGACTGTTTGGATTCCAGATGATTCGAGGAAGGCCCTAACACCTGGCCAACTTGGAAATAAGGGTGTTTCAGTGCCTGTAAAAGCATGGATACGTTACATTACATTAACATTTAGCCAGTCTAAACGGGCCCAGTTCAAGTTCTGTGCACCCTTCATTTGGGGTATATTGTCTACCACTAACAATGTAACAATGGTTTTGTTCATTTGTTTTTTGAAACAGGGTCTTGCTGTGTAGGTCAGGCTGGCCTCAAATTGCTGCAATCCTCCTGCCTCAGCCTCCTGGATGCAAGGATTACGGGCATGCACCACTACACCCTGCTTGACTTTTCTTTTTTTTTCTTTTTACTGAACCCAGGGCCTCTCATACATGGTAATCACGTGCTCTACCACTGAGCTGCACCACTGACCATTCAACTTTCTTTTTTTTTGTACCGGGAATTGAACTCAGGACCTTGTGCTTGCCAGGCAGGCATTGTGCTGCTGAGTTATATCCCCGGCCCTGATTCTTAAGAAATCAAATCTTCTGAGTTTTCTTCTATTATTTTTATTTATTTAATTTTTGGACACAGGGTCTCGCTATGCAGTTCAGGCTGGCCTTGAGCTCACTGTATAGCCCAGGCTGGCTTCAAACTAGCGATGATCCTCCTTCCTCAGCCTCCTGAGGGGTGGGATTACAGGCGTGCGCCCCCACGCCTGGCTTTCTTCTATTATTTTTATATTCATGGTCTCCTCACCCTGAGGTCAAATATTCACATAGGCTTTCTTTTAGTCTTTAATGATTTAGTGGTACATATGTGTATACACACATCAGTAGAAAAGGAAATATATATGTGCCTCAGCTTCCTGCAGAACTAAATAACGCATATTATTTCATCCTTTGGTGACTTATCTGTGGAGTCTACCCATCCACTGAGAACTTCTGCCCCTCCTGCGATGCCGGTTCACCTTACCCAGCCCTCTGCAGCTCACGGTGAGGCCTTTGTCAATTCCAAGGCCGGTGCTTTCGCCCTGTTCCTTTCTGTGACTCCGCAGACCTTTTTCATACCCGTCCACCCCGCACTGCTCTAATTATTTATCCTTGTTCAAACACAGCTTGACTATTCTTTCCCGTTTGTTTTTTCAGATGGCCTCAGAAGACATTTTTAGATAAAATTTTTTTTTTTAAAGTGACCTGTTTGGTAATTTTCATATATATTTTATATTTAAATGATAAGAATGCAATAAAATTGATCCTATTTTAAAATTTAAGCCCTTTGGGCCGGGGACATAGCTCAGCGGCATAAGCGCCTGCCTAGCAAGCATAAGATCCTGAGTTTGATTCCCAGTACCCCCCAAAACGAAGTTAAAATTTAAGCCTTTTCCCAATTAAGGCATGGCGTACCATAGTCACAAGAAACACAGGGCGGGCGTCACAGTGCTGCCCTCTCGTGGAGCCAGAGGCAACAACCTCTATCGCTCCGTCCTAGGGAGGGAGGATCTGCTGTCCTGGACAGTGAAGGGCAATTCCACCTCAGCCAACCGAGAGCGCAGAAAGTCCACTAAGGCAAATGATGGGTGAGATTACTTTTCGCTGCCCAGGACAAGTGTCTTCCTAACTGGTTTGTCACGTCCTGAATTGTTAAGAGTTTGATTCCATTCTAGCTCAGCCCGGTAAATTTCCTCACCGGAAGCAAAAAACACAGGAAGAGGCCAGCAGTTATATAACTGCATTTCTAAGGATCTTCCATGCCTAGAAATGGATTCATTACACTTACTGCACGTCTTCATTTTCTCAGTAAAACCTTGGCTGAGAAAAGATTTCTCTTTGTAAGTGAGAACGGCCTGCTATGGTAAAACCCCACGGTGTAGCAGGGAGGCCTGTCGCACCTGGCTTGCTGTTGGTCGTTTCTTTGGATCCCAATTCAACATTTCCATCATCAGGTGAATGGCTTCACTACTGGCGTTGGGAATAAGAGTTTTTAAGTTGATGGGAACACACTGGGGAAATCGGAAGTTCATGGAGGACGCAAGCTGGTAGCCTTCGGGCCAGTCGCTCTGTTAAGGGCATAACAAGGGCAGGCAGGGGCGAGCAAAGATAAGTGTTTTTAGTAATCAATTTGAAAACACTATAAAAATCACTCTGGTGTGAAAATTTTATTTTTTTATTTTTTTATTTTTGGTTTTTCTCCGGTACCGGGAACCGAACTCATGACCTTGCACTTGCCAGGCAGGTGCTTTTGCCACTGAGCTAAATCCCCAGCCCTGGTGTGAAAATTTTAATGTTAATTTGTAGGAGTCAATGGGAAAATAAAATACCAGACACTCTATATGATTCAGTCCTATAATAAACCACACAGAAAAAGAACCCTGAATGGAGAGTTAGGAAAAACAAGGGAGGACTTTTATAATTAAACTTGGACGATGACGACTGATCTTTACAGAAAGGCTGCGTCCCACCCAAGTCCTTGTTACACAATGCACATGAAATCGATGTTACAAATTACACATACCTGGGAACGACAGTTACGTTAAAGCTTTAACATCTACAGGACATCTCTGATGACAGGCACACACTGACTTCATCAGGATGTAATTACGCTTAGTGAACAATTTTTAAGTGCCTCTTGGAAGGTAAGCTCTACCAGAAATGTAGTATGAACTAAAAAGTACTGTACTCAGAGTTTAAGAAACCAAATATCTATGGCAGAGGAATATAAACCCAACCAGGAAAGGGTTATGAGGAAAGCCCCCAGGGGCTTATAAACACGTGACAAAGGGGATTCACAGAACAAGCAGCAAGCAAGTGAGCAAGGCTGTCTATGTAGTTACCAGTGATCACTGACCCAAAGTCATATGCTAAAGAGATAAAAATTTCCTTGAAGGTTTTTTTTTTGTCTTTTTGAGACAGGGTCTCGCTATGCAGTTTACACTGGCCTTGAACTCACTTTGTAGCCCAGGCTGGCCTCAAACTCACAGAGATCCTCCTGCCTCAGCCTCCTAAGCGCTTGGACTACAGTCATGTGCCACCACACCCAGTTCCATCCTTAAATTCTTAAGGAAAGGCAAATACTGCCCTCTTTCAGTCTGGTAGGATTCTGGCTTCTCGCTATTTTTATCTCACCCCAATAAAAAATAAAAAACATAAGGAAATCATTAAAATATAAAACTATTTGAAAATGAAAAATCAAATACGTCGGTAAAACTTTTTTAGACAAAACTTCTAAATAATCAGAAGATATAAAATTAAAAGTAAAGCAGCAAGTTAGAAATAATCGAAGGTCATCACGATTTAGGAACAAGCCTACTTACCTTCCTGGGAGTCCCTAAAACTTGGCAGATTTTAAAGATTTCATCAACTTCACTTGTCCCCGGGAAAAGCGGTCTTAAGGTGTACAGTTCCGCCATTATACTTCCCACGGCCCACACGTCAATGGGGGAACTGTATACCGAAGACCTTAATAAAACTTCAGGAGCACGATACCTGCAAACACAGCAAACAACGAAAAAAGGATTATTGTCAGGGAAACTTCGCAGGCGCGTGACTTCACGGCTGATATGCTGTTAGGTGGTGAGACCTTGTCGGAGGCGGTCGCTGGGGGCGTGACCTGGGAGGGTGCATTCTTGTCTCTGTCTCCTCCCTTCTCTCTCTGCTTCCTGGCTGCCCGGGGTTGAGCAACTTCCCTCCACCATGCCCTTCCACCGCGCTGTTCCTGCCTTGGAGCCAGCCAGCCATCGTCTAAAACTGTGAGCCAAGTTAAACCTCTCTTCCTGTATTATTATTATTATTTTGGTCTTTTTGAGACAGGGTCTCACTATGCAGTTCAGGCTGGCCTTGAGCTCACTTTGTAGCCCAGGCTGCTCTCGAACTCACAATGATCTTCCTGTCTCAGCCTCCCCAGTGCTGGGATTACAGTCGTGTGCCACCACACACAGCTACTTTTTTTTATCCCCAGCCCTCTCTTCCTGTAAATTGTGGGTGTGGAGTATTTTGTCCCATCAATGGGAAAGTGACTAAGACAAACTTTCCAAAGAATCCTCCTGCAGGAGGAGCTTCTCCAAAGCTAAGTATACATTAAAAATAATCATTTGAGCTCTTAACACTTAATTTGTTTAGATGGATAAATGCCACTGTCTCCCTTTATTCAAGCTTTGTTTTCAATAACTGCAATGTGCTCCAAGCATCAAAGACTTGAATGTTGGGTCTTTCGTTTATTAAAAAATTCTACATTAGGATTTCCAAAGTATCTGGGACAAAATGAAACCAAAATTTAAAGGACTTGTCTACAAGGAAGTGAGATGTCACTGTAAATCCCCTAAGCTGGTTTACAAGGTAGTTCTTCAAAGGACAGTGACAAATGACAAAAGAGATCACATACAGACATACTGAAGTTCTGCGGGTATTTTTTGTAGTTTCATCACAAAGAATTGACAGTTCAGTTGCTCTACTTCCGCATGTGTCTATGGGATCTGTAAACCCTGATAAGTACAGTCTGTATTTTGGTTGGGAGAGTGTGGGGATACAACTCCGAAACAGTTGCACACCCTCACTAACCCACGTATACTTCTGCTTTCTTGGTGTCTTAATTTAGCAAGAACACTTTTCCTTTTTTTTTGTTTGTTTGTTTTGGTTTTTTTCTGGTACCAGGAATCGAACTCACGACCTTGCACATGCCAGGCAGACGCTGTGCCGCTGAGCTAAATCCCCAGCCCCAAGAACACTTTTCATGACACTGGGTTTGTGTGGAATCTCTGTCTGTGCTACCACCGCAAAACAGTACTTTTATCTTCAGTGTGGAACCCAACTGAAATTACAGTAGCACTCGCTGCCATGTCAGATGTTTCAGCTCTCACAGAATGCACAACTCAAAGCTTGACCTTGATTCAAGGAAATCTAAGTCATTTTTAGGATCAAGAGAACTGACTTTTCCTTTGCAGCATTTGAAGATACTTGTTGAAAGCTGGCATCGTGTGGCTGTGTGTGTCTTTCTCCTATGAAGCAGCTTGGACTCTCACAGCCATGTACCACCTACCTTTTGTAACTTGCATAACAAAACCTGAAGTGAAAGATGAGTGAAATTAACTTAGCAGAAGTGTCACTGACCTAACGGAGAGGGAGTACACCTCCTAGAATGATGCGAAATTCACCTGAAGCTACACTCACCCACGGCTGTGTCTGCACAGTCCTGAGATAGTGACTAACTTTTCCAATGGGTTCTGGTTTTCACTAGGTCATGACTATGGTCCTGGTGATGAGTTACAAATATCAGCACATGTTTTCTGGAGGTGGTCAGCATTTCTCTCAAGGAACAGAAAAATGCTCACTTTTTCAGTGAATGTACACTTTTGTTTTTTGTAGTTCATAGTTGATAAAAGATTTCACTGCAAAATAATTTCTTCAAAAAGCACTACCCAATGTGTTCTTCAGAGCGGCTGTAACAAAGCACTCAGCCTAGACGGTTTAACAACAGCAGAAGTTGTTCTGTCAGCAGTGCAGGAGGCTGCAAACCCAAGATCAGGATGCTGGTGTGGCCGTGATCCCCGCGGTTCTGGGGGAGAATCTGTTGTAGCTTCTGGTGCTGCCAGCAATTCTGGGCACTGCCTGGCTTGTGGACACGGCCCCTTGACATCCACTTCTGCCAGCACAGTACTGTCACCCTGGGTGTCCATACACAGCATCCGGGGTATGTGCCCCTCTCTGTGACTCTGTGCTAATGGGGACACCAGTCTTACAGGATTGACACCCACCCCCCCCCAGTATGACCTCAGCTTAACTTGCTTATATCCGCAGAGGTCCTGTTTACCATTTAAAGTCACATTCACAGATACAGGGTTAGGATTCCACCATATCTTTTTTTTTTTTTTTTT